TTCGCTACTATAGGCAATCGGGTTATACTCTTGGCAACAGCACAAATACGCATCTTAAATGGCTTTGGCAATATCGACTCGTGTCGAGCTCTATGCGATCCAGGCTCTCAGGTAAGTCTAATGAGTACGCGATATTTTAATCAACTGGCTCTGCGGAAGCAGAAAAGTGCATTGCAATTACAAGGCGTTGGCAGTGGCAATCGTTTATATACTAATGGCCGGGCAGTCTTGCGCATATTTTCGACTGTCAATGCTTTATTTGGCTTGGATGTTGAATTCTACATCATTAACAAAATTACCTCAGCAATCCCTGTGGCTCCAATCATGGAAAACTGTTGGCAGCATTTACGCAATTTGCCCTTGGCAGACCCGAAATTTGGCGAAACTGGTGTTATAGATGCATTGCTTGGCTCAGACATATGGGGCCAATTGTTGGCAGATGGCATAGTTCGTGGCGAACTTGATGATCCTGTGGCACAAAATACGCAATTAGGCTGGGTTGTATTCGGACCAGCTGAAGCAACCGTGCATAACTACAAGGCGGAACAATCTATGGCATTGCGTGTGAAGGCGCCTGATGAGCGAGTTGATGACCTTCTACACAGGCTATTTGAATCCAAAGAAATTGACATGGCTAAAGGCGATACACTAGCAGCAGTTGATCTTTGCGAGTGCATTTTCATGAGCACACATAAGCGTTTTGATGATGGCAGTTATTGCGTGCAAATACCATTTACACCAGATGCTCCACCACTTGGCAATTCACATCAGATGGCACTCAGGCAATTTCACCAGTTGGAACGAAAATTGGCATCCAACTCAGAGCTCAGGCAAAGATATGTGGCTTTTATGCGCGAATACGAACAACTTGGTCACATGCACCCTATTCAGCATCACTCAGGCGACACATCTCAGGCATACTACATTCCACATCATGCAGTCATGGCAAAATTCCGAGTCGTATTCAATGCTTCCGCAAAAACATCGAATGGCATATCATTAAATGATACACAACTCGCTGGCCCCCCAATACAGGATTTATTACTTAACCTTTTGCTTCGCTTCAGGCAGCATCGAATAGCATTCACAGCTGATGTGGAGAAAATGTTCAGGCAAGTCAAGGTTGACGAGAGGCACAGGCAGTGGCAACAGATCCTCTGGCGGGAATCATCCGATCAGCCCATTCGCACATATCAATTGGCTACCGTTACATATGGCACAACTAGTGGCACATATTTGGCTGTTCGCGCTATGCAGCAATGTGGCAGAGACAACTCTTATAAACTCTCAGATGAAGTACGAGCTAAAACTGCTTTGCATCCTGAATGATTTCTACGTAGATGACTACCTTAAGAGTACACCTTCTATTGGCATGGCGATTCAACTGGCGGCCGATGTCTCATCTGTTTTGGCAGACGGTCAGTTCCATCTCAGGAAATGGAAATCGAATAGCGCTGAAGTCTTGGCACATCTTCTTGGCGATGCTGATCCATGTCAGCTTAATCCGCACTTGGCAGAAACTACTGTTCTTGGCTTACACTGGGATCCACTCACTGATGAACTCTTCTATCAGGTCAGCTCTTATGATGCACAACATCTTACGAAAAGGCAAGTGCTTAGCGATGCAGCAAAATTATATGATCCAATTGGCATGTTGGCACCAGTCATCATTACGGCTAAACTTTTCATACAGAAACTCTGGCAGGCAAAATTGGCATGGGACGACCCACTACCACTTGAACTGTTGCAAGAATGGCTCATATACCGAAGGCAGTTGTCCCAACTGGAGGCAGTACGAATACCGCGTTGGATAGGCATGCAACCCGGATATCAAATACAACTTCATGGCTTCTGCGATGCTAGTGTTAAGGCAATGGCTGCAGCACTCTATTTGGCAACAAACCACAATGGCAGTATCACTAGTCACATTATCGCATCAAAAACTAAAGTGGCACCATTACATTCGGTAACAGTACCCCGATTGGAACTTTGTGCTGCGCAATTGTTGGCTACTCTTTTACACGAAACAAGGCAGGCTTTGCATTTGGAGCACGTACCATACACTCTATACTCCGACTCAAATATTGCTCTGTGTTGGCTACGCAAAAACCCATCACAATTAAAGCAGTACGTTGCTAATCGCGTTGGCTGTATTCAATCGATGACAGATATCAGGCATTGGCATCACATTCCTACCAAACTTAACCCAGCTGATTGCGCCAGTCGTGGCATATCCCCTTTGGCGTTGCAAAACTACGCATTATGGTGGCACGGTCCTAATTCAACTGATTATTCAATCAATGAGCTGCACCACTGTGCACCAGCAGAGCTGGCAATAATGGAAGGCGAGTTAAAACCAGTGAAGGTAAAGGCATTGCAGGTAATAGGCCAACCCGCATTACAGACACACTACACTGCTGGCGACGAATTGGTCGTCATAGATCTGTTGGACCGGTTCAGTCATCTTGGCAAGCTATTGCGCACTACTGCATACATATTGCGTTGCAAAAAGGCACATCATCGTTTTCGTTCGCATACACACATCTGTACAGGCGAAATGGACATTGCTTTAAATCACCACATCAAGGCAGAACAGGCGAAATATTTCGCAGCGGAAATCAAGCAGCTGAAAAAGGCACAGCCCATATCCACATCCAGCAAGCTCATTGCACTAAGTCCATTCATCAGCTCCACAGCGGACAATATATTGCGAGTAGGCGGACGCCTACACAATGCGAGGGTGGCAGAGCCACAGCGTCATCCAATCATTCTTCCAAAGGATAGCACATTGGCCAGGCTTTTAATATGGCAGGTGCATCAGGACACACTTCATGGCGGTATACAAATCATGCTTCATACGATTCGACACAAATACTGGATCCTACAGGCACGCATTTTGGTTAAGCAATGCATACACTCATGCGCGATTTGCAGGCGGCATAAACACATAATGCTAAAACAACGTATGGCGACATTACCAAAGGCTCGGGTCACCCCATCTCCACCATTTGCTAGATCTGGCTTAGACTATTGCGGTCCATTCAACATACGCATTGGCTCCAAGGCTGTACGAACCGTGCGGAAGGCTTACGTGGCAATCTTTGTGTGCATGGCAACCAAGGCAGTGCACATCGAACTGGCTGAAGATCTCACTTCTGAGGCTTTCATAAATGCATACACCCGTTTCGTAAACCGGCGTGGTCCATGTAATCATTTATACAGTGACAATGGCACTACATTCATTGGCGCAGATCGCTTAATGGCCGCTGACTTACAGGCTTGGCATAATGAATATTCTCAACAGCAATTGGCGAATCGAGGCACAAAATGGCATTTTCTACCACCTGGCGCACCTCATCAAGGCGGACTATGGGAAGCTGCCGTTAAGTCAGCGAAGAAGCACTTACTACGCATTGTTGGCACCCATTCCATTTACTATGATCAGCTACATACTCTACTTGTACATATCGAGGCTTGCTTGAATTCACGTCCACTTATACCATTGCATGACACTTGTGACGACAAGATGGCTCTACACATTCATCATTCCATAGTTCATATTCATATCAATTCAATTCAATCATATCATATTCCATATTCGTGTGAGATTTGGCACAGCAACTAGGCGATGTGGCAGCACACATTTAGCACTTTTTGACAATGGCATCCTAACATCTGGCAGCGATAATTTTGGCTTCGCTTTTTTGCTTTTTCCTTTTCCTTCTTCTTAATTGGCTACTGGCGGTGTGTGCACGTTTTTTGGCTTGACAAGATATTAATAATTTATCAGTAAAAAATTTGTATAAGAATGTAATAAAATTTAATTGACTAAATCCTTAACGAATAAATACATAAAGTTTTGCGTGTGTGTAAAATAATCGTGTTTGTTTTTCATACATTTGTTGGTGCCGAAACCCGGGAGTTTCGGTTTTTATTTAAAATTAAATTGCGTTTTTGGCTTTTTTGGCGTTTTTATACGAAGAAAATATGGCTGCCCTAAAATAGGCGTACGGCTGCGTGGTCATCATTAAAGCTGGTAGCTGCAAAAATAATGGCGGATGACTACGTTGTATGGCTTTGGCATGCAGCAATATCGTGGCACATCTCAGGCTGATCATAAAAGGCCAAACTCATGTCTAATGAGGACAAACCAAATAGGCAACTGCACCAGGCTATTGGCTTGCTCACCAGCGAAGCGCTTCACATTGCTAAAAGGCTCGAATCTTTGCTTCAATTGATTGAAACCTGGACATTCTACTAAGGCATGTGGCTCAACTAATTGTCGCATATGCAATGGCAGGCATCACATTCTACTATGCCGAAGTTCACCAGCGCAAACTCCTCCTTTGCAAGAGTCCAAACAAACTACACCTCAGGCACCAGCGAAACCGAACCAGGCTGGCATCCCACCACGTGTGCATCAGTGACTACACCATCCAATGCAGACATTCGCTACTATAGGCAATCGGGTTATACTCTTGGCAACAGCACAAATACGCATCTTAAATGGCTTTGGCGATATCGACTCGTGTCGAGCTCTATGCGATCCAGGCTCTCAGGTAAGTCTAATGAGTACGCGATATTTTAATCAACTGGCTCTGCGGAAGCAGAAAAGTGCATTGCAATTACAAAGCGTTGGCAGTGGCAATCGTTCATATACTAATGGCCGGGCAGTCTTGCGCATATTTTCGACTGTCAATGCTTTATTTGGCTTAGATGTTGAATTCTACATCATCAACAAAATTACCTCAGCAATCCCTGTGGCTCCAATCATGGAAAACTGTTGGCAGCATTTACGCAATTTGCCTTTGGCAGACCCGAAATTTGGCGAAACTGGTGTTATAGATGCATTGCTTGGCTCAGACGTATGGGGCCAATTGTTGGCAGATGGCATAGTTCGTGGCGAACTTGATGATCCTGTGGCACAAAATACGCAATTAGGCTGGGTTGTATTCGGACCAGCCGAAGCAACCGTGCATTAGTACAAGGCGGAACAATCTATGGCATTGCGTGTGGAGGCGCCTGATGAGCGAGTTGATGACCTTCTACACAGGCTATTTGAATCCAAAGAAATTGACATGGCTAAAGGCGATACACTAGCAGCAGTTGATCTTTGCGAGTGCATTTTCATGAGCACACATAAGCGTTTTGATGATGGCAGTTATTGTGTACAAATACCATTTACACCAGATGCTCCACCACTTGGGAATTCACATCAAATGGCACTTAGGCAATTTCACCAGTTGGAACGAAAATTGGCATCCAACTCAGAGCTGAGGCAAAGATATGTGGCTTTTATGCGCAAATACGAACAACTTGGTCACATGCACCCTATTCAGCATCATTCAGGCGACTCATCTCAGGCATACTACATTCCACATCATGCAGTCATGGCAAAATTCCGAGTCGTATTCAATGCTTCCGCAAAAACATCGAATGGCATATCATCAAATGATACACAACTCGCTGGCCCCTCAATACAGGATTTATTACTTAACCTTTTGCCTCGCTTCAGGCAGCATCGAATAGCATTCACAGCTGATGTGGAGAAAATGTTCAGGCAAGTCAAGGTTGACGAGAGGCACAGGCAGTGGCAACAGATCCTCTGGCGGGAATCATCCGATCAGCCCATTCGCACATATCAATTGGCTACCGTTACATATGGCACAACTAGTGGCACATATTTGGCTGTTCGCGCTATGCAGCAATGTGGCAGAGACAACTCTTATAAACTCTCAGATGAAGTACGAGCTAAAACTGCTTTGCACAGCATCCTGAATGATTTCTACGTAGATGACTACCTTAAGAGTACACCTTCTATTGGCATGGCGATTCAACTGGCGGCCGATGTCTCATCTGTTTTGGCAGACGGTCAGTTCCATCTAAGGAAATGGAAATCGAATAGCGCTGAAGTCTTGGCACATCTTCTTGGCGATGCTGATCCATGTCAGCTTTATCCGCACTTGGCAGAAACTACTGTTCTTGGCTTACACTGGGATCCACTCACTGATGAACTCTTCTATCAGGTCAGCTCTTATGATGCACAACATCTTACGAAAAGGCAAGTGCTTAGCGATGCTGCAAAATTATATGATCCAATTGGCATGTTGGCACCGGTTATCATTACGGCTAAACTTTTCATACAGAAACTCTGGCAGGCAAAATTGGAATGGGACGACCCATTACCACTTGAACTGTTGCAAGAATGGCTCATATACCGAAGGCAGCTGTCCCAACTGGAGGCAGTGCGAATACCGCGTTGGATAGGCATGCAACCTGGTTATCAAATACAACTTCATGGCTTCTGCGATGCTAGTGTCAAGGCAATGGCTGCAGCACTCTATTTGGCAACAAACCACAATGGCAATATCACTAGTCACATTATCGTATCAAAAACTAAAGTGGCACCATTACATTCGGTAACAGTACCCCGATTGGAACTTTGTGCTGCGCAATTGTTGGCTACTCTTTTACACGAAACAAGGCAGGC